GTGGGGAAGCGAGCGCGCGCGAACAGGAAACTCCCACACCACATGAGCCTTCAACAGAGGTTGCAGGCCAGTGCCTAGCTAGTTGTCCAGAGACTGCTTGTGTTAGCGTCTCTCGAGGCACTTCCCTCACAGGCGTGGCAGAAGAGTTGAAGGAGAGAATGCCTCCCTGGGCCAAGATGAAGAAGGATAGTAAGGGACAACTAGTTTCAGTTGATGTAGAGGTCTTTAAAAGTAGAGTAGAGGCCCTTATAGATTCAGGGGCTACCCACAGTTATATTAGCCGTAAAGCGTTGAAGAAGCTAAGGCTAGGGTTAAAAGTCCAAAAGTTGGAAGATCCCATAGTTAGTGTCCTCGCAGACAACCGCACTATGCGTGTTGAGGACTACGTAGAGGGGGCTCAGGCGTAGGTGGAGAAGGTTCTCCATTCCCTGACTCTCCTCGTACAGGATGACCTTACTTTTGACATGGTCCTAGCATGGACTAGGGAGAGGCAGCAGGGGCCACACTTCATTTGAGAGAGCATGAGTGTAGGCTCTCTAGTCCATCAGGTGAGGTTAAGATTGCCCACCTGTTTCATGTGTCTCGAGCGGATAACTCCTTGACACATTGCTGTCTTAGTGCTCCTGCGTTCGCGTAGTAAGAAAAGAGCAATTAGAGGAACATGTCTTCGTAGCCCACGTGAGGCCTATCACTGAGCCTAAGGAAGACACACCCATAGACCCAACTATTTAAGGATTTGACTGAGCCGCTGACAGGAGTAGTGCCGCGGGCAATCCAACATCGTATAGAGATAGAGCCTGGCAGTAGGACTCCTAAGGGAGCAGTCTACAAGATGTCCCCAAAGGAGTTAGAGGAGTTGCGTAAGCAGTTAGACGAGCTCCTCGAAAAGGGTTGGATTAGGCCCAGTTCATCTCCTTTTGGAGCACCAGTTTTGTTTGTCCCCCAAAAGGAAGGAGAGTTACGGATGTGTATAGACTATAGGGGTCTAAATGCGATTACAGTGAAGAACGTTGAACCGCTGCCTAGGATAGACGATCTTCTAGATCGGGTGCAAGGTTGCAGATATTTTTCGAAGATCGATTTGAAGTCCAAGTATCATCAGATAGAGGTCCATCCTGATGACCAGTACAAGACTGCGTTTCGGACTAGGTATGGGCACTATGAGTTTAGTGATGCCCTTTGGACTAACCAATGCGCCAACTACATTTCAGCGATGTATGGATGATTTGTTTAGGCCTTGGTTAGATAAATTCGTCGTAGTTTACTTAAACGACATCTTAGTATTCAATAGGACCCTCCAAGAGCACCGGGGTCATTTGAGGCAGGTCTTGGAGAAGTTGAGAGAAGCTAACTTCAAGATCAATGCGAAGAAGTGCGAGTGGGCCAAGCCGCAAGTCTTGTACTTGGGCCACGTTTTAGACGGAGATGGCATTAAGCCTGAGGACAGCAAGATAGCGGCGATTAGAGATTGGCCGACGCCCTGCACGTTGACTGAGTTGCGGTCGTTACTAGGCCTAGCTAATTACTATAGGAAGTTCGTGAGGAACTTCTCGACTATCGCTGCTCCCCTTCGCAGATTGCTCAAGAAAGAGGCGATCTGGCAGTGGGATAAAGACTGTACGTCTGCGCCGAAGAAATTAAAGCGCGCGTTAATAGAGTACCCTGTCCTCAAATTTGCAGATCCGTCTTTGCCATTTGTCGTCACCACGGACGCGAGTCAGTATGGTATAGGCGTCGTGTTAGAGCAGGATGACGACAATGGCTACAAACCCGTAGAGTTCATGTCATCGAGGATGGCCTCAAAGAAGGTAGCTACCTTGAAGCATGACGTGCTTGGGAGGCACTTCAAGGTGTATTCAGACCACGAGACACTTAGGTGGTTGAAGACACAGGCCAAAATGACACCTAAGTTGACTAGGTGGGCCGCTGAGATAGACCAGCACGACTTTGAGCTCAAGCCTGTTGAAGGAAAGTGCAATGTAGTTGCGGACGCTCTAAGTAGGAGATCAGACTACTTTGGAGCTATAGTTCATTATTTGGATATAGGGAGTGACCTGCAAGAGAAAGTTAGACAGGCGTATGCGTAGGACCCTATTTATAGTGACCTCCTCAAGAGAGTTAAGGAGGCCCCAGAGACCGAACCAGATTACCGCACTATAGAGGGGTTGCTATTTGAGAAGACTAATGTAGTAGATCGTCTGTGCGTCCCTAACAACGAGGAGATTCGTAGTTTGATCCTAGGGGAATGCCACGACATAGAGGGACATTTCGGTTGGCAAACGACTCTTGCCAATCTGATGCCTGCGTACACTTGGCCAGGAATGAAAGCTGATTGCATAGAGTATGTCCGCAGTTGCAAAGTATGCCAGAGAAACAAGAGTACTACGCGTGCCCCTCTAGGTCTTCTCAGACCCTTGCCTATTCCTGATCAGCCTGGAGATTCTGTGTTCGTTGACTTTATGGACGCTGGCGTCAAGAGTAGGCACGGCAAGAGCCAAGTCATGGTCATAGTTGATAGATTTAGCAAGTATGCAGTTTTTGTTCCTCTGCTTGCACAGGCACGTACTGAGTTAGTCATTCAAAAGTTTTTTTGTTTTTGGGTTAGTGAGCATGGTGTCCCATTGTCTATTGTTAGTGATAGAGATACTCGCTTCAGAACAGGAAGGAACTGATGAGAGTCTATGGATCAAAGTTGTTGATGTCATCTGGCCGTCACCCAGAGACTAACGGTCAGACTGAGCAGATGAACAAGATCCTGCAGCAAGTTCTGCGCATGTACATTAGACCTGATCAAGTCAATTGGGATGAGATGTTGCCCAAGGTAGCCAGTGGGTACAACAATAGCGTGCATCTGTCCACTTGTCGCACTCCCAACGAGTTGCACAAGTCCTTTAGACCGCGCGGACCGTTTGAGGGACTTAACCGGGATCAGATTCATAGGCTACCGCCCGGTACCAGGGAGTTCGCGATACAGCACGAGAAAGAGCTAGCTACAGTCGTAGAGAACCTCAGGAAGGCCCAACATCGAATGATAGAGCAAGCCAACAAGCACCGTCGCCCATCGCAGATTCCAAGTAGGCAACTTAGTCTGGGTCAAGTCCAAAGAGGTTGCTCCTGAGGAAAACATCTCGCAGAAGTTACTGCCAGCGTACAGAGGACCATGGCCAGTTCTAGAAGTCAAGGGCGGAGAGGATGGGCCGTCCTACACAGTAGAGATCCCAGCACACCTCCACACCTACCCGGTGTTCCATGCATAAAAGTTGTTGCCGTGTGTCACAAGTCAACAGTTTCCATCCAGAAGGTTCATGATCCCTCTGGACATGGACGGAAGATACGACATTAGGTGAAGACGTGTTCAGAACAGGAGGTAGAGGTTGTCCACAGAAGCAATATAAGGTCCGGTTTGCTTATCAGGAACCGGAGGATGATTGCTGGTTCACCAGAATAGAGCTGCTAGAAACAGGTCCCAACATAGTTAGGGCCTGCGAGAGAGATAAGAAAAGTAAAGGTCCTGCCTTGGACTGACTTATTCTCGGAGGACCTCGAATTTAGGCCGGCGGGAGTGAAACGGTATTCACCTGTTCGCAGTAGCCAATGCAGATCCCAGGGCTCGGTCCCTAGACTTACCTTACCTGTGTGTACAGTATCTGTGTCCACCCGGAGAGTTGAACCCGCGACCTGTGTATTTGTAACAGTTGGTAGACTGTCGTTGGGTCTGTAGGTAGTAGGGGTTCGATCTGTAGATCTTTCGGGTAGGAGTCTTAGCAAGGTCTAGAAGTCGTAGCTGGATCTCCTCCGAAAGGTCAAGGTCGTAGCTGCTACAGTCCTGAAGGGTCAAGGTCGTAGCTGCTACAGTCCTGAAGGGTCAAGGTCGTAGCTGCTACAGTATCGAAAGGCCAAGTCCACGGCCTCTCTGGAAGGTCCTAGTAGTGGCCTTTCGAGGTTGCTCACGTTTAGGCTGAGGCAAGTGGGCAAGTGGTGGAGTCCACCCGTGCTGAGTCAGCAGTCCCGGTCCCAGTCAGTCCTAGTCCAGTCAAGCAAGTACTGCATGGGACTGTGTGCACCACGGGCATGGGGAAAGGACAGACCAACGAGATACAGAAGTATAAATCAAGAGGCAGCGCGCAGCCATTCATTCATTCCTGCATAAGCCATGCGGAAGCGCTGTCATAGCGACTTGTGCGAGGTGGTCTGCAGTGAGCCCGAAGACGAAGTGGGCGAGAGAAGGAGCTTAGCCATAGCGATAGGGTAGCAGCGGCCATAGCCGCCATAGCTGATAGGAGAGTGTAGTGTGCATGTGTGTGCGTGTGTGTACAGCGTGATGCGTGTGGGATATCCAGGGTGATCCTCTGTGTGTGTGAACAGAGAGTTGTACAGGCGCTGTGCCGCCATAGCCATTGGAAGTGAACTTGTATCTGAACTGTGTTTTGGTTTCCATATCTCTGAGTTCTGAGTGGGCGCTTGTCGCCAGTTTGCTGTGCAACCTGTTTACATGCATGAGAAGTGTGAATGAGAGCGAGTCTGATTGCAACACCGTGCCCCGTGCAAAAAAGATGCCGACTCCGGTTACTCCGAGCCAAATGACAAAAACATGAAACTACACGTCTTGCCGGACCACTGCGCAGGACTCTTTTTTCCTGGGCCCATTGGAACATGATGTTTGGGGCCTGCTTTTTCTTAAGTATTATATGGATATGGATAACCCTTCAGCCAATGAGTGGGATGTGAAAAGTGTTGTTCTTGCGCCTATCTGGGATGCAAAAAGTATTAAAAGGAATATGTGTGAATTGTGAATGTTTGCACGACTATTGTTAGATTGCTGTCAGCCTTCATCAATACTAGAAATTTCTGACCATGTTGTGTTATCTGCCTTTCACAGATCTTGTTGGCATTGACATATGTATGTGAAACTGCAGGTGTGACTATTGCACATGAGGTGTGTTTTCATTTCTTGACCTGCCAAGCTAATATCATGTCACTCCTTCAATGTCTGCTCACAGATCTTGGGAGCCTTTCAGATTCACCGATTCATTACTCTTGCGAAGAGATTCAGGATGCAACACTCAATTTCACTCATGAAAAGATTGGTCAAGGTGGTTATGGAATTGTGTACAAAGCGACACTCAGAAATGTGGTATGTTTCCTCAATGGTGATTGCCGCTTTTCTTGCTTTTTCTCCCGAAATGCTGGCTTGTACTGATTGTAGGGACTACATGTTACATGAGTGAACGCCTAACATGTCTTGCTCAGCAACGGCCAACTAGTTGTTTGCTTGTTGTGAAGCCAGCATAGGAATGTTGTAAGCATTATGGAACACTCAGAACTGTCACATAACAAACAAAAGCAAAAATTAGCTCAAATCCCTGAGCACAAACACACCAATTGTTCCTTCAATTGATGAATGATTGGTGTTGCATGTCCGTCTCTGCAAGTGGACATGCGGGGGAGGCGGAGGTGAATCCTGTGGGTGGAACAGGATAGCAGAAGGCCCAATAAGATGTTTGAACCCAACTGTAACATGAGTAGAGAACTGACTTGCACGCCAGATGGGTTGGAGTCATAAATGGATGTAACCTCCCCGCTGGTTCATGCACAGACGAAGAGAAGTAGGCCAAGGTCAACCCAGTGGGTAGGACAGCATAGCAGAAGGCCCAATAAGATGTGTGAACCCAGCTCCGACATGTGAGCAGAGAACCGACTCGCACACCACAGGGGATGGAGGCGTACATGGACGACATCTCCTTGCTCAATCATGCACGGACAATGAGAGGTCGAAGAAGGAAAAGAAGAACGGGGGAGAAAGAAAAAGACGAAAAACTCAAGGTATGGTGATGCCAAGCGGTATCTCATTCCACCCAGACAATCTCCTCCTCCAGATAACCAACTTGCACACAATATAGCTCGGATCTGTGTCCAAGGAAGCAGCGTTCTCCCCCAAAGTTATGTTGTACCTCATCCAAAACTCTTTCTCTCTCTCTCTCTCTCACGGAAGGGGATGATAGCAGAAAGAAGAGAAATGTTCCTCTCTCTCTCTCACTCACTCAAAATACTAACCAGCAGTGTTGCATACCCCGCCCGGTCGGCAGCCCTTGACTGGTCGGCACCTACCGGTCGGGGGTCGTCGACACCCTGCAATTTTTTTTATTTTTTTTTGTTGGGTTCAGAACCCCTAATAACCCCACCAACACCCCCATAGCGGCCCCCAATACCTCCATACACACCCCCAAACC